AATAAATCTGTCAAGCCACTTTTTCTTTTGTCGTTTGGATGCAAAAACTGTTTTCTGGCTTTGCCTAGCAACCCACTCCGTATTTTCCATCTACTTTCCTTCAAAAATGTTCTTTTAATTTCATCAAAATGTGTATGCACCAGTTCACCTGCCCTAAGGTTAACTGTTACCAGGGAAATACTTGATGGGTTAAACTTACTCTTTAAGGTGTTGCAAGTCATTATAAAATGCTTAATTGGTGATCCTTCTTAACTATTTGCATTTTAAAAGAATTGTATTTTAGCAGAAAGGAATCACTAATACTAAAATTACTTTAGAAATCTATTTGGTAAATGGGAACTTTACCAAATTAACTTTTCAGAAAAGCCCCTAAAAGACTATTTCTCTTATAGAATTGAACCTTGTATGAGCAAAATATTTTGTCACGATTTTTAAAGATGTGGAGATGATGAAATCTTTGAGTCCTTATATATCTGACAAAAAATCCTATTTTACCCTTAAAATAAATATCTTCTTACATGGATAAAAAATTCTTACTATAGTGTTTTATTCTCCCCACTTTTTGTAGATTTTCTCCATTTTCATCTTGAATCAAATATTAATGAGAATTCTCAGACTAGCCTGAGATTGTTTTGTTTTCTGAGCTACCAACTTACTTGTTCTGAGAACTTAAACGTCTTTCTTGTACATACATATGTTTTCAGTAGTTTTACAAAGCTATAACATGGTCTTAAACAGTTTCTAATACTTTTCTCAAGGACACTTTTGATATGAGATATCTGATTTCCTTTATTTCAAGAAAGTTTTCTTTCATTATATTTTACAATTAAGTTCTGTTCCATTTGTCAAGAGTAACAAGTGTTGTATGCAAGATCTCTGTTGTCTGTCTTCTATATCAACCATATTTCTTTGAACAGATAATGAAGAAGAACTCAGTTCCCCACTTTGGAGGAAGGAGCTGCTGACAACTTTGTGCATAGCTTTGAAACACTGTCAGATATAGAAGGCCTAAGAATGGAAGCAGAATATTTTCAGAGATGGTGCCAGAGGATGAGCCCCTCTGGTTGGAGAGTATGCAAAATGCGACTAATGACGTACAGGGGCAGAGTAAAGAGAAATGCCCTCAATGAGATGGATTGTTATAATGACTGCAACAATGGGCTCAGGCATAGGAACAATTGTGAAAGTCGCACAGGACCTTGCAAGTATTTCGCTCTGTTGTGAATAGGGTTGCTGTGAGCCGGAATCGACTTGATGAAAATTAACTTCTTTCTTTGAATCTAGATTAAAAGCTCTGCCACTGATTGTGTGACCTTTGGTAAATTTTGTAGCCTCCAAACCAACTGTAAAATGGTGCTAAAATTGTATCTGAGTCATAGATTATTGTGAAGTTTTAATGACATAATTGCATAAATCAATTTTTACAGTGCCTGGTCTAAAGCTGATGTTAATATCGCCAATTAGTATCCAAGAACTTCAAAAGGAAAACTGAGATTTGAATATTTTTGCCATTACATCACCAAGGCAAAATAAGGAACTCTCATTTTGTCAAATATATCAACACAAAATACTAGTTCATTAACGTCTCATTTCCTGAGCCATTTGATTAGTCCTTACATAAACCTTATTTTAATGAATTTATCTTTGGTAACATAGTTTCTTTATTTCTTTTTCTGTCCTTGGGTTTTTGGACTCTTAATAGGCACTTAATTAAATATGTAGCAGCAGATGTAAATGCTCTAACATATTTAAACACAGTGTATTGTTAGTTCCCTCTAGCAAAATGTGGTTAAAGTGAGATGGCACTTCTTAAAGTTAAGAAAAGTGTTAGTGAAACTCAGAACACAAATGCATAATTTAGATCGTATTTCACCCCAGGCCCCAAAAGAAGCTACATGAAGAAATAGAGTGGAAGTCACATCTGACCTTCTTCAGCTACAGGAAAGAGAAGGAGAATTCATCTCCACATTTGGCCAAGGGTGGCTCTCATGGGGCAGACAGCAGACATACCTCCGCTCCAACCATCTTTACCATATTCTGAGACCAATCATCCCCTACATAGCACTGCACTTCTCTGCTAGGTTCCACAACCCTTTGCAATGGCCAAACAGAACTCATAGATACAGTTTACAATTATGGGGTTTACTAGGTCGCATTCTTTCCTCTGCATTGCCTCACATTGGCATGCATCTCTCCCTCTTGTCCTCAGCTTTTCAGCTACACATTCTTTTGTCTCTGCTGTTCTCAACACGAATTAGAAAGCTCATCCCACTCTTCAACCTAGCCTCCTTTCCAAAGACTTTCCACTTTACTCAGAAAGTCTATTGCTGTGCCTCATAGCCTTGGGGGTTTCTTTCTGCTCTGTCTCGTCTCAGATACATTTGACTCCTGAGTTGTTTTCTTGTTGATCATGAGATTCTCGGTTCCTGCTTCTGGAATGGCTTTTTTTATATCCAGTCGCATGGCAAAACTAATCCTCTGGATAAGAGTTCCACACACCCTATTTGCATTGTTTTTGTAAGGTGCCAGGTAGTAAATAGGTTCAGATTCATAGTGACTGTATGTGCAACAGAAACACTGACCATTCTTGCACCATCCTCCCAATGGTTTTTATGGTTCAGCCCATTATTTCAGTCATTGTGTCAGTCTATCTTTTTGAGGGTCGTCCTCTTTTTCACTGCCCCTCTACTTTCCCTATATGCATAGTCCCTCCAAATTATGTAGTGTGAGTTATCAAGTCTAGGGATAGAAAAAACATGCCAATTAACTTGACTTCCCTCACTAGAGGATTGTGTAATATCTTGAAAGGTTCTTTTTATTTCTTTCTTCTGGAAGTTTCTTTAAGTGGAGTGCTGATGTGAGTTACTAACACCATATTGAATTTAAATTCTCAGAGTTAAAGTTGGCAGTAGCTGGATAATAATGTCATTGAGAAGAAATGTCTAGTGTTATTGTATAAAATCTATGACACCTTGCATGCAATAGTGGATTCTAGCATAGAGAGTATTGTGAGGATAGTGCAGGACCAGCCAGTGCCTCCTTCTGTTGTGATAAGGCCGCTATAGGTCAGAACTGACTCACTGGAAACCATCAGCAGCAGTAGTTACAAGCAAACATTCAAGGGGAAACTTAAATGCATGATGTACCTTAGCCAAATGGGTATGCCACTGAGCTGCCTTAATGACTATAGTCAAATGCTTTCTTGTTTTCCTTATAGCACGAGCTTTTGGATCTAGTAACTACTCTTATTTTCACTCTGGAGCCTTACATTTCTAATTCCTTACCTCTGGAATTATTTGGGGATCAAGAAAAAAATTCATTTTCCTTTGGAAATCAGATTTTTTGACTGATCTTGATATCTGACTGAACACTGTAAAGTCTATATAGTGTTAAGCTACATGAAAGCAGGTACATATTTGCTCTACATATCTACCTGTGTACTGTTAACCTCCAATACAGTTCCTGACTCCTATCATATAGTCAATAAAATTCCCTTGAACGAAACAAGTGAATGAACAAATAAACAAAAAAGTCATTGAAAATGAATTCCAGCATTCTGTGTCATTTGTATGCAAGATAGATATAGCTACATTGGATAAACCTTTTATTTACTGATAGTTACTTTTCTTTGAAGAACAATGAATAGATCATATATTGATTTCAGGATGCATAAGCTGCATATTTTCTACTAGAATGTGGTCAATACGCCTGTGATAAAGATTTGGATAGATATATAAATGGAGTCCTAGCCTGGAACTTTCTAAAATGAGAGCCAGAGGCAAAGGTTATTTCAGAGTACAGTCTAAGAAATAAGAATGAGGAGCAGGAAACCTGAAACAAGGAAAGATAAACAGCCAATATGAAGTGACTGATTGTTTTCTCCTTCTGACCTTTTGAGCTTACTTAAGAAATACTTTTCAGAATGATCTACTAAGGGTAAACAAGGGAGTAGCATATATTTATCAAATTTCATTCTTCATCAGTCAAAACTTACCCTATTAAATACTATCTTTCCTTCCTTTACAGTTTACAATTGTGTAAGTAAAAGGTAGGCTCCCATTGTGGCTTGTGGCATGGTGAATTATGTTGGCCTGTGTACCCACAAGGTTAGAAGTTTGAAACCTCTGGCCATCCATTCTGTGGGAGAAAGATGCAAATTTCTACTACCCTGAATAGGTACAGTCTCAGAAATATTCGGGGGAATTCTACTTTTGACTTGATGGAAGTGAGTTTGTTTATTCGATTTTTGGTAGTATCAAAGAAACCAGGGCAGGAAGCAAGAAGCTTTTAGTGCCGTCCTGAAGTGAGGCACTAATAGGTTTCATTCGCTCCAAAAAGGCCAAAATCAATGGGGGACTGGCTATTACAGACCAGGTTAGAATAAAAGGTGAGACTGACAGATGTGAAGTGGTGCATAAGAGGTGTTCCATGCAATTAATAAAATGACCAATCACTTATAAATATTCCTTAAATAATATGTCCCAGATAACAACTAACAATGTGGTGCCCCAAAGAGTATGCTTCCTATTAGTACAATTTCTGAATCTTGTAGCTGCTATTAATTCACCTACTTTTCACTTTGGTGTTTTGGCATTAGCAATGCCTCAACAATACATTTCAAGATAATATTCAATTTACAGTATGTTAAAAAAAGTAATCAGAAGAAAGAGATGGCTTTCTACTCCCATAAAGGGTCACTGTCTCAGAAACCTACAGGGGCAGTAGGACCCTGTCATATAGTGCCATTATAAGTCAGAATCAAATCAAAGGCAGTGAGTTTTTTTTTTTAATATGGAAACCAATTATATGGAGGGACATCATACTTTAAAGGAGATGTGGACCCATTACTCTCCTAACAAAAGCAAAACAATTCTTCAAGAATTGAACTGATTTGCAGATATCCAATTGAAATGGGATTTTACCTGAAAATTCTATTTTAGAAGCATTTTAACTACAGTTAAATAGCCCCCCTATACACACACCCTGTTCTTAACAGTGAAGCGTGTTACTTGTGCCAGTCAGAATCTGATACTAATTAAATGGTTACAGCTTTGTCAAATACACAAGAACATACTCTTCCAAAGCGAGGAAGGCAGGCTGCCACAGTTGATAGGTTTCAAAGAAACATGGACTATCTGAAAAAAATATGTTTTAAACTATGAGGGACCTTTAACAAGCTCATGGGAAAATAGAATGAAAAATAATGGACATTTCTATGACTTTTTTTGAAGTCCCGTGTATATTTAAATTGTTTCTCAAAATTTGGCACTTGGATACCACAGTATATTTTCAAAATAAAGTGAAATCCAATAACCATTAATGGTAAATCCATAATGAGAATCTCTTGATCCCTGTATAGGGCTACTCATAGAAACCTTACACCTGTTATGTTAAACACTGCTAGAAAGAATAAATAATCAGATATCACGATGTTTAAAAGAGAAATTTACCCTGAAAATTGTTACTGGAAGTCATTATCAGAATTTTGTGCAGCATAATTTATTTATTCATTAGGGTCAAACCTAGACAAATCATGATGAAGTAGTTTTTATCATTTAAGTCTAGTTGATTAAATACTTGATTTTTAAATGTTGATCCTAAATAAATTTCGGGGAACTCGGAGCTACTTTTTTATTTTACTAATCAAGATGCTCTTTAAGGTTCATTCAAGTAATGGGAAAGAAGCATGTAATTTAGTTCAGTTTCAAATGACATGTTATATTTCAAGGAAAATGCAAGTGTTCTTATAGACTGTGACTACATTTACAACAGAATTATTGATGAAGTTGTCAGTTAATTGAAGATCAACTTTTGTCTTACATTATTCACTGTTTTATGTAGGCACTCAGGACATGGCTCAAAGAATGGGAATTGTTAAGGATTTTGTCTTGCTTGGATCCTAAACCAGTGCTTATAGGAGAATCAGTCAAGAGATCAAAAGACATGTTGCATTGTGTGAATATGCTGCATAAGAACTCTTTAGCATTTGTACATCGCAAAATGAGGACCTAATGTCGGGGGTTTAAATGGAGAGAAAATGTTTTGAGAAACGATGTACAAATGTGCTTTACACATTTGATGTGTGTATGGATTGGGATGACAGTTGTATGAGCCCCTAATAAAATGTTAAAAAAGAAAAAAAAAGTTTATTTTAAGAAAAAAAAAAAAGAAGAAGAAGAAAGTCTTCTAAAATGGATTGTGGTGCCTAACTCTTCATAATAGGATTGAACTATTGAATTGTATCATTTGTGAATTACATCCCAATAAAACTGTTCATTAAAAAAAAAAAAGAACTCTTTAGCGTATTGAAAAGCAAGGATGTTATATTAATAACAAAGGTACCCCTGACTCAAGCCATGGTATTTTCAATGGGCTCATATGCATGTGAAAGTTGGATCATGAATAAAGAAGACAAGAACTGATACATTTGACTTGTGGTGCTGGTGAAGAATATTGAAAATACCATGGACTGGAAAAGGACAAACAAATCTGTTTTGGAAGAATTACATCCAAAACGCTTCTTGGAAGCAAGGACATGCTGTCAGGAGAGACCAGTCCCTAGGGAAGGACATCATGCTTGATAAAGTAGAGGGTCAGTGGTAAAGAGGAAAACCCTCAACAAGATAGATGGACACGGTGACAGCAACAATGGGCTTAGGCATTGGCTCAACCGTAAAGACAGTGTAGGACTGGGCAGTGTTTTGTTCTGTTGTGAACAGGATCACTGTGAGTCATAATTGACTGAAAGGCACCTAACAACAAGAATGTGACAGAACACATGTATGAGGAGGTACACCTACCCTCCCCCCCAAAAAATCCAAAAAATAGTTCTACTGGGTGGAGATTTCATAGCATGCATTTTTCCAGGTAGGCCAGCATCGAGCAACTCACTCTGAGTTAGTGTACCCAGTGGTGTTGCTGAGATTGTTCTTTCTGGTCAAAGTGAATTTTTTCATAAAAGCAGTCTTGCTTGAACCATGTTTTTTTATGATGACCGATTTGAGAGAACAGCATGCAGCCATGAAATTTTATTTCCTGCTTGGGCAAAATGCCACAGAAATTTGTGATGTTAGACACAACATACGAGGACAGCGCTATGAGAAAAACTCAAGTGTATGAGCAGTTTTCTCTTTTCAAAAAAAGTGAAATGTGGATTAAACACAAACCTCATTCTCGACGTCCGTCAACTTCACAAATGGACAAAATTGTCAGACAAGATCTGGGCACTTGTGCTCTTGGTCCAAAAAATTGAAGTGATGGGGAAGTTATCTTGACTATCTTGGAGCTTGGTTCAATGAATTTTAATGGAAGATTTGGGACTCAGAAGGGTCACTGTGAAAAGTGTGCCTCTGGTTCTGACTACCAGCAGTAAGAGCGTTGATGGGAAACATGTCATGCTTTGAAAAAAAACAAAAACAGCTCCAGTGGCCCAGACTTCCCCTCCCCAAGGCCATTACTGGTAATGAGACATGGTGCTATTTTTACAACCCCAAAAGAAAACATCAATCAAACCAGTGGAAGACACCATCGTCATGTCTCCCCTCAAAAGCTTATCAAATGAAATGAAAGATAATGACAATGTGCTCTATCTATCTGTCTATCTATCTATCTGATAGGGATAGTGCATTTGGGGTTCATTCCACCAGGTCAGACTGTTCAACAAGCTTTCTATTTAGAGGCTCTGAAAAGATTGTATAAGTGTACAACAAAATAGGCCTGATTTGTAGCAGACTGGGGACTGGTTTTGCCACCATGACAATTAACCTTCTCACACAGCCATCACAGTATGCCAGTTTTTGGAAGAAAACAGCATGCCTCTCCTGCCCCATGTGTCTTAGTCACCTGATCTCACTCCGTGCAACTTTTTTTTTGTTTCTGCCAATGAAGAGGGACACAAAAGGAGAGTAATTTGATGACATAGAAGAGATGAAGAAAAATGTGGGAGGTGCTATCACCCATCCAAACAGACAAGTTTGAAAAATGTCTCCAAGAATGGGATCACAAAAAATCAGTATTGTGCATGAGGGGGAGGGCAGAGTGGGGACCAAGGAGCCATCTGAGGGAAATTGGACATCCCCTTGCAGAATGGCTGCGGGGAGGAGAGAGGAGACGAGCCAGTCAGGGTGTGGTGTAGCAATGATGAAACATACAATTTTCCTCTAGTTCTTGAATGCTTCCTCCCCCCTACTATCATGATCCCAATTCTACCTTACAAATCTGATGGACCGGAGGATGTACACTGGTACAGATAGGAACTGGAAACACAGGGAATCCAGGACAGATGAACCGCCTCAGGACCAGTGGTGAGAGTGGCGATACTGGGAGGGTGGAGGGAAGGTGAGGGAGAAAGGGGGAACAGATGACAAGGATCTACATATAACCTCTTCCCTGGGGGACAGACAGCAGAGAAATGGATGAAGGGAGACGTCGGATGGTGTAAGATATGACAAAAACTAATAATAATTTTTAAATTATTAAGGGTTCATGGGGGAGGGAGGAGTGGGGAGGGAAGGGAAAAATGAGGAGCTGATAGCAAGGGCTCAAGTAGAAAGCAAATGTTTTGAGAATGATGATGGCCACATATGTACGAATGTGCTTGACATAACAGATGGATGTATGGATTGTGATAAGAGCTGTACGAGCCCCCAATAAAATTATTTTAAAAAAGAATGGGATCACAGATTTGACAAATATATTAAGCATAATGAAGAGTACTTTGAAGGTGATGAGGTTGTTTTGTTAAAAAAAATTAAATACATAGCTTTGAAACAAAATTCGGTTTTATTTAATTTTTTAAATCATTTTATTAGGGGCTCATGTAACTCTTATCACAATCCATACATACATCAATTGTGTAAAGCGCATTTGTATATTCATTGCCCTCATCATTCTCAAAACATTTGCTCTCCACTTAAGCCCCTGACATCAGCTCCTCAATTTTTCCCCTCCTTCTCGGCTCCCCCCTCCCTCATGAACCCTTGATAATTTATAAATTATTATTTTGTCATATCTTGCCCTGTCCAATGTCTCCCTTCACCCACTTTTCTTTTGTCCATCCCCCAGGGAGGAGGTCACATGTAGATCCTTGTAATCAGTTCCCCCTTTCCAACCCAACCTCCCTTTACCCTCCCAGTATCACCACTCACACCACTGGTCCTGCAGGGATCATCCGCCCTGGATTCCCTGTGTTTCCAGTTCCTATCTGTACCAGTGCACATCCTCTGGTATAGCCAGACTTGCAAGGTAGAATTTTTATTTTTTTTAAAGTGCTGTTTAGTCTACAAGTTGTTTGGATAAGTTGAGTGGAAGGTTTTATTCTCAGAGAAATGAAATAAATGTTTCTATCATCTGGCAACATTTCAGGTCAAGTTCATGACATGACATTGTGTTCATACAGTTCACCATAGTCTACATATGAAAAAGGATTTCCCTGATCAGTTTGATTATTCTCAGTTTACATGGGGAAATCTATGAGAAGGCCTTCTGTGGCTCTCAGCATTCTACTTAGGAAATACAAAATATGATAAACCAAATATTTATGGAAAAATTAAAAAGAAAAAAGAGTTATGTGATGTATTTACCATATACAACCACCAATTCAAATATGCAATGGGGAAAAATAGAAATTTGACAGAATTGCAGCAAAATCTATAAATTGCTTATCACTCAAGAGAGGCAAGTTTATGTGGTATGATTAAACATCAAAATCTCATTGACTGAAATAAAATCTTCTCAGCTGTCATTAGGCAAGCTCCTAACCCAAGATGATTTAATGCACAACAGAATGAAACACTGCCCAGTCCTCCACCATCCTTATGATTACTCTATCATTGGATCATAGCGATCTACGAGATTTTCATTGACTGATTTTCAGAAGTAGACCTAATTCTTTTCTTCCTAGCCCATTTTTGTCTGGAAGCTCTCCTGAAAAGTGCTCAGTATCAGAGCAACATGAACGCTACTATTGACAAACAGATGGCAGTTACACATGAAGTGCATTAACTGGAAATCAAACCTGAGTTTACTGCACAGAAGATGAGAGATCTACCATGAAACCACCTATACTTCTAAAAATATCAAAAATTTGTTTCTTGATCTTCTTACTTATGCGATGTGAGTTTTCTTTGGAGTG